TAATATGTTGCAACAGTAACATAGAGGTGCATTTACGGTAAAACTACAACACATACAATCATTGACACTTATTATGAAAATAACTTATTTTATTATTACAACAAATTATGCAGAAAAATTGAAAATATCTCTAAGTAGAGTTTTTTTATAGAAAAAGGATAGCAAACGAGCTCACAGTCTAACTGATGGTAAGTCGATGCTGGGGCCCAATAACATCTACATAAGTCCTCGATTGAGAATCGAAATGCAGATGCGTTTTCACCTCTGAGGACTAAGAAGAAAAGCCTCGTTTATAGCAAAAAGGGTATCCGGTTGTCTACACTCATTTTTTAATCAGTTTACGCTGGTATTCTGTGAGAGCGTGATCCTTCTTCGGTTAAGACGGCCTATTCGTAATGTACCCATAATATAGCTGCAACATGCCTAGCTTACAACATTTTTATAATAAATTAGTTTGATACCGTTTTGATAAATTTTTGGTTTAAGTTAGTGTTGCGCACAACAATTAATGCCTGGTATATGGAGAAACTAGTTACCACTAGCGCCTTCTAGTATCGATTAACAAAACTAGGAGAGTCAAGATCCTTTTAGAAATTTCCATGGAAGAACTTTCTAGAATTATCGACACCTAGTCAGTCGGGACCGATATGTACTCGAACATTCTAGATGTTTCTACTGTAGAAGGTTCTGGAATTGGCCTTATATATCCACGATATAGATCGTGACCCGAGTCAGTGTTGAATTGGCGATTCAAGTGAATACTTCGATGCGATACAACTGCGAACTAAAGTGATCAGTAGTACAATTGTGTTTTTTTTATAAGTGTGGGTTTAAGATGTAATTAAAGTTCTGTAATTAAAGTGTCAATTTTGGTAATTCACTCTGCAGTTATCAACATTTTATTTTATATAATACACGTCATAACATGTACATAATTTGTTAAGAACATCGTTTTTGCAGCGACTTTATACCAACAATTTTTGAATCTTATGTATGAACTAAGTCCCTTATTTTCTATCTGGGAGGTCATCTGGGTAAGTATCACCATCTTCATCATCAGGTATTAACCACCTTCTATATTTAAAGTTAGCTGCAAGTTTCCTGGCTGCAGTAGTCACCGACCTTTGTCAGGTGGAATGTGATTTCGTTGATTATTGGTATTTCGGTAATTTCGAGAATATACTGATTCTGATGCATTGTCCTAATTGGCCATCGATCGTATGAGTAAACGATGAGATTTCATCGCACGATGAAAAAGATCATGCTATGGTTTATCAGGTGTCCTAATAGCTTATGCCATGCCCATCACTCGATGAGGAGATGCCGCCGTGCCGTCATCGCAACGGCACTATTTAAACAATGGCTGTTTACTGAGATGCACAGTTTTTTACTTTCTTAGGTTTCTAGTACCTGGTTGACCAATCTTTGGTCGGTTTTTTATATCGTGTGTTTTGGAAATTATATTTAGATACAAATTTATACTGATGATATATGAATAATATTTTTTGATCTTACCAACATAATAAAAAAAATCATGAGTGCAATTAGTTTAATTTAAATTTTCGCGTTGCCTTTTTAATGCCTCGACCGCCAAACTATACTATACTATTAGTTTGTGTAAACTATATCTATGGTAATTACTCTTATGCCTGCAGTACACTGCTCGCAAAGTTGAACGAAGTTGGGCAAAGACGAGTGTGTACATAGACACTTCGCTTCACTTCGGGCAACCTCGCCTCGCCTCGGGTGACTTCCGATCTTTGTCGCTAGGCTGCAGTAAACTACTCACGAAGTTCCTCGCCCGAAGTATTCCCCGAGGTCAGCCGAGGTACAAGAAGCCTCTGTACACACTCGCTCAACTTTGTGAGGAACTAGTCGCTCACACGCTAGACGAGAATACATGCGGAAGCTGTGTTTGCTTTGTGCACTGTTGTGTATTTTAACTATGTGCGTATATTGGATGCAAAAAAATAATATTTTCAGCGTCCCATATTACCGTTTCCCCCTGGAGCAACTTCAAACAGTTTAAGCTTTAAGCTAGGCTTAAGCAATTTGGATCGAATTAAAACGTTTTTAAATTAAACATCACAACGTTAACTTTATAGAAGTAAGCCGAGTAATGTACAGGGTCACTACGTGCTCGAAACTTCGGTCCTTTGACTCGGGCGGAAAAAACCGACAGCGATCAGACGTCAGCCGAGGCGAGGCGAGGTTGCCCGAAGTGAAGCAAAGTGTCCCTGTACACACTCATCTTTGCCCAACTACGTTTAACTTTGCGAGCAGTGTACTGCAGGCAGGTTTTTCCGCCCTTCAGATCTTTCTTTGCATCCTACCCTTGGGGGCGGGTTTGCTTCTCGCCGGATGATCCCAACGTTGTTGCGGATTCTGTCGCTGATGTGATACTTCAGGGTATGGAACTTTTTATTCCTTCCCCTGCGGTGCTCGTTGGAGGCAAATCTCAGCCATGGTTTGGTCGCTCCTGTAAAATAGCATCATGCTATTTTAAGCAGGAGTACTACCAAGCTCGGGCTGACGCATCAACGTCCCGGAATGTAAGCACTAGCGCTCAAAAGAAGTAGAATTCCGCCTCTAGGTCCTTCAAAAGAGTCATTGCCAAGGGAAAGTCAGAGCACATAGGCAGAATTGGCGAGAAACTAGTTCGCCTTTCTTCTGGAACCCGTGTATTCTGGTCTCTCGCCAAGGCTGTCCAGGGGAATTCCTGTCAGCCATCTCTTCCATCTCTGCACAGGAGGACGACTCACTGGCCCATACCGCAAAGGAGAAAGCCGATCTGCTAGGCTCTTTCTTTGTGTCCAACTCGACTCTCGATGACGTAGGGAGTACGCCGCCGACCATCCCGCGGTGTGAGTGCTCCATGCCGGAAGTGCAGTTCACACAGCGCTCGGTTCGCAAAGCACTCCTCTCACTGGATCCACAAGTCGAGTGGGCTCAGGGATTCCGTCAGCGGAATCCCCCTAATTGTGCTGAGGACGTGTGCTCCAGAATTGGCACCGGTTTTAACGCGTCTTTTCTGGTCATGAAGATCAGATCAAAATCATGGAAGACGGCTTTCGTCCACCCGATCCCTAAAAAAGGTGATCGTTCAGACCCGTCCAACTACCGGCCTATCGCCATCACCTCCTTGTTCTCCATAACAATGGAGTTTATTGTTAACTGTCAGCTCATGAGGTACCTTGAGGATCACCAGCTGATTAGTGATCGCCAATACGGTTGTCGCCGTGGTCGATCATCTGGTGATCTTCTAATCTACCTAACTTATAGATGGGGGAGGCAGTAGAGGCATTGGCCGTTAGTTTGGACATTGCGAAGGCCTTCGATCGCGGTTTGCACAAAGCGCTTCTTTCGAAGCTCCCTTCTTATGGGCTTCCCAAGAAATTGTGAGATTGGATCACCAGCTTTCTTGTAGATCGGAGCATTAAGGTCGTTGTAGATGGTGCAAGCTCCAATTACAACCCTATTAATGCTGGTGTTCCACAAGGCTGCGTGCTATCGCCAACGCTGTTTCTTCTGCATATCGATGATATTCCAAACCCGTAACATTCATTGCTATGCAGATGACAGCACTGGTGATGCTCTTTACACCGGCCGTGCCAATATGCCTCGGGAAAACGTCTCCGAGTACCGGGACACACTTGTGTCCAAAGTCGAGTGTTTGCTGAACAGAGTCTTAGGTTGGGGGCGACTAAATCTAGTCCAATTTAACCCCCAGAAGACACAAGTTTGCGCGTTAACCGCTAAAAAGAACCCCTTTGTCGTATCTCCTCAGTTTCAAGGCACTCCCCTTGTTGCCTTAGCCAGTATTGGAATCCTCGGCGTCGACATATCGAGTGATGTGCAGTTTCGTGGTCACTTGGGAAAGAAGGCCAAATTGGCCTCCAAAAACCTTGGTGTGCTCAACAGAGCGGGACAGTATTTCATGCCGGCACACCGCCTGCAACTTTACAAGGCGCAGGTTCAGTCGCACATGGAATACTGTTCCTATCTCTGGGCGGGGACTCCCCAGTACCAGCTCCTTCCACTTGACCGCATCCAGTGCAGAGCGGCTCGAATCGTCGACGACCGAGTGCTTTCCGATCGGCTCGATTCACTGGCGCTGCGAAGAGATGTTGCATGTCTTTGCATTTTCTTTCGCATATACCATGGGGAGTGCTCTGACAATTCCTCAGAGCACTCCCCATGGTCTCACTCCCCTCGGATTAATCCCAGCCGCCAAATTTCGTGAACACCCTACGTGACAAACGTCCCGATACGATCCACACCATGTGGTCCACCACTGTACGTTTTACAAGGAGATTTTTTTGCGTACGACCTCTCTGTGGAATAGTTTATCACCTGCGATTTTTCCGGACCGGTACGACCCAGGAACCTTCAAGAAAAGAGCTTGCTCATTTCTAAAGGACCGGCAACGCACCTGCAATTCCCCTGGTGTTGCGGTTGATCATGGGCGGCGGTAGTCACTTAAAATCAGGTGAGCCGCATGCTGGTTTGCCCCTCTTCTATAAAAAAAGAGCTAATACTATTGCTTTTGGTGTTGCTCCAGGGGAAAACGGTTATATGGGACCGTGGAAATTATTATTTCTTTTGCATCCAATATACGCTCATGGTTAAAATACGCAGCAGTGCATAAAGCAAACCCAGCTGCTACTTCTACCTACGTCCTCCATCTCACCTAGCATGTGAGCGACTAGTTTCTCACGAAGTTGCGCGATTGTGTACAGGGGCTCGTACCTCGGCTGACCTCGGGGAATACTTCGTGCGAGGAACTCCGGGAGTTGTGTACTGCAGCCTTTAGCAACGACAACAAAGTCTATGGTGATGGCCTTGTAGGCCTTCTAGGTTGGTTTCTCTGTCTACGCTTATATGCCTTAACCATAGACAATACGCTCATGTCCGTCAGTCTTATACGTACCTTATCTATGGTCTAACTCTGACAGCTGACAGAGCAAAGTAGTGAACTAGTGAATTGATTTTTTTCGAAAATGGTGAGATATAATTTAAAATTCTTGGTAATCTTTATTTATTTATTGTAAATAATTTTTAGTAACCATGTGTGTTGAAATTCTAGTCGTTTGCCGACAAAATTACAATGCTTATGTCGCGTCCGGGCGGCGATAATGTCCAAAAAGACGACGTCCCCTGGTGGATGCGTTACGCTGGACGAGTCCTGGGCACTGTTGGCAGTTTTAGTATGTATATAATTGTTTAAAAGTAATTTATTAAAACCTGCACACAAAGACCAAAAGATAATTTGTTAGAATTATAAACAATGTTTATCTTATCGAAGTGGGTGGTATTAAAACTTATTGTTACCAATAAGCTGTATTAAATGAAAAGTCCGTCTGTTTTAAAGTGTTTCTTGCAATTTTATATATCTAAACATATTGTGAAAGTAATCATCAATAGATTTTAAATATAAATATAAAAGTATTAAAGTGAATTTCTCATAACTTTTGGCATATTATGATTATAATTCGAATTGATACCGATTATTTTTAATTATGAAATATAAAAATCATAATATTTTTTTGTAATTCATTGTCAGCTTATCAGAGTGTTTACTTAAAGTATGTTTTAGTAGATCTTGTTTTACCAGTTCACTTTTCTGGTTATATAAATTAGTTACCCTTAATAATAATAAAAGATGTAACATTCTTTTTTTTGTACAGAATTGGGTGGAAAACAAGCACACAGTCCACCTGATGGTAAGTGGATGTTATGACCCATAGACATCTACATTTATCCTCTAACCTAAATGAGGATGCATTGTTACCCATGAGGACTAAGGTGGAATGCCTAGTTTCCAGTAAAAAGGGTCTCCGGTTCTCTACACTCACCATATGAAATACAGCAGCATTAAGCTGCTATTTTATGCTGGTTTTCTGTGAGAGCATATTCTTTCCCTGGTCAAGCTGACCCATTCATGCTACAATGTAACATACAAATGTTACATTCACATTTAAACTTTCCATTAAAATTTGATTGTTTACTTGCTGTACTTGTACTTGATAAATGATAACTTATCTCAGTATTGGTATATATGATAGAATAAATACACAGTTGTCACTTTTTGTTTGATATTTGAGTAAAACTGTGAATTTAAAGTGAAATTCAGGGTATTTTATTATGAGGCTAATTTCTTTTACTGAAACGCTTTTTGTTTATGAAATGTTAATAAAGGAAGTACTAGATTTGAATGACAATGCAAAAATGCTGCCTATTTTTGTTTTTCTAAAATTGGGGACCTCACCATATCAACATCACTACTGCCCTTTACATCTCCACTACTGAAGGTAGACCTCCCCCAAAAAATGCCACAAATTGGGGACTTATTTTGCTATATCTGAATCAGAACAAGTATTTATATGGCCTACAAGTAATTGTTCTGGTTCTGGATTTGTGTCCTTGTGCAATTTATTTATGTAAACTGCCTCCATGATACAGGAGAAAATCTTAGTGTAACATTAAAAAAAACCCTTTTAGTCATTTTGTTACTAGTAATTATATACAATTAAATTATTAGTAATATATTTGGACAAGTAGTGTAACATGTATTATTAAAGTACATTTATCTATATCAAGTACATGTTAGAAGCAGTCTTTTTTGAATTCAACATTTTTTTGTAGACATTTTTTGCAATACATATAAAAAAAATTGGTATTAATATCATGAACTAAGATGAAATAAGAATATTTATTTGCTATGTGAATGAACTTTATACAGCTCAACTAATTTATAACTAAATAATTATTATTTATAAATCAATGATATCATTAGACAGTTTTATTTAAAGATGGCTTAAATGAACATGAAAAAAAATAATTTCATGTTCATTTCAGCCATATTTATGTTTTGACATTCCACTAGGTGCAAATATATTACTCATGAATATTTGCACCAAGTCATGAGTCATGAAATTGTTAAAATGAGAATTCATACTTCATTCTATATAATACTGCATGTATTGTATAGTAAGTAAAAGTAAAGTGCTTATACACATCTTACTGCTGGGCACCGGCCTCCTCTGGGTTTTAGGGCAAGGAAGTGTCCACTGTTCTGCCTTAATGCTTGTTGGTGGACTTCAAATGTCTTTAAAATATTTTTTTAACAGTAAGTTATTTTTGGTATAGAATCAAAGACACATCAAGCTACAAAAATTTTGTAAAATGTTAGTAAATCAAACATAGCGGTGGTGGCGATGATGGTTGGTCAATAACTTTGCAGAATGAAAGGATTAGAGGGAGTAAGACAGTGAGGTCACTTTATATCTCTGCTAATAGACACTCATCGATAGTAAAGGTAAAGTTACAGCCTGTACCTATGTCCCACTGTGGGGCACAAACGTCCCATTTCTAAAAAGGTTATGGTGAAATGTGAATGTGCGACTTAAAAATATTTTAATTTATCTGACTAACATACATTTCTGAAGATGTTTTTCTTTACAAACAAGCACCTAGTAAAATAGCACCTAGAATAACAATTAACAATTTCTTTGGTGCTTGAAGGAATCAAACTTGTTTGCTGTGACATACTGTATGTGTCTTCATTAATACCTAAATACAAAATATGAAGACAATCTGATAATTATCTTTTGTGCAGTTGTTGATTATACAAGTAAATAATGAAAACAGTTTAAAAATGGTAAAAAATCATTTTCATGTTATGAAATAGAAACAGAAACTTTTTTATTCAATGTAGATGTAGATTATAACAATACTTATTGAAAGTCACTTTTTTCATTTACCACTGGTTCGCATAAAAAACCTCTGTCCTGGGAAGAACCAGCAAGAAACCCAGTGGGACTATTTTTTTTTCCCAATAATAGCTTACAATTATGTTTACAATAAACAACACAAGACAAATCAGAAATAGCTTGGTAGCGATCACCCTTCCCAGGGGTTATTGTCATCCATAAATTCTTTAATGTTATAATAAAAAATATGTTCAATACTAAACAAGGAAACCTCTTTAACAAGTAGAAAACTGCAATTCTCACTAAAAGGTTTATCAGTGTAGCATCAACAGTACTATTGTGTAATAGCACTTCAGCTAAATGAGTGGGTGACCTTTAACTGTCAAGATATTATTTATATAATTTTACCTTTTGTATTAAAGGATTAAAATGTTTAATGTTTGTTAATATAACAACACACATTCCAAATTTGTTTTGGGTAAATTGATAAGCATTGTCATTGTGGGGTCAATTTCATGTGACCAATTAACAAAATTATTTTGCTTTACTGCATGTGTCATATGTGTCTAAAATAGTAAAATGAAAAAAAAAATTGTCTATATGTAATAATCCTGGGCTTGTCCATGTCGATATTATATCTATAATTATTTATTACCACTACAGCCTATTAAAGTCATCTGCTGAACATAAGCCTCACATGTAAAATGCCTCATAAGAGCAGGATATTTGTCATAGTTGCCATACTTGGCAAGCAGGTTGGCAACTTTAGTTTTTTAAATTATTTTTAAGACGAAGACGAAATTTTTTTAGGAAGACGCTGCCACCATGTTCTGATCTGTTATGATATATGTTCTGTATATCTGATATGTTCGCCTCTTACGACGCCCACGGAATGATATGGGGCATGGATACACCGTCATTACAGGATTATTTATTGATGTTATTCGTAGACATGGAGTCTTATGAATGGAAAATAAATTTCTCTTTAAAAGTTACTTTTTAAAATATTAATTTAAATTTATCCTATCCATTCTTACCGGCAAAAGGCGCCTCTCCTTTTGCTGTTCGCATTACGGAAAATGACGCAAACGAAGTTCGAATATGTGGAATATCAATAATAAAGTGATGATGGTGAGATATTAATAAGATGAGCGCGAAATTACATCACTGTATAATCTCACTCAGTAATCTGAAATGTGTGTTTCATTCACTCGCACATATCTCCTCTCGGTCCTTAATTACGCGAATGCCCATATTCATTTTTAGGTCACCATGTATCCAAACTTATTTATGAATTGGTGAACCAAGATTGAACAAGTTTATATAAGGATAGATGATGATGAATGGTTTTATACATGACATTAGATATAGATATTAGATGGCGTTACAATCTTAAATTATGACAACCCGTACAAAATATGAATCTTTGCTATGATGAACACACAGCCCAGAAAAATTGATTTCGTTTTAAAATATTTATCGTGTGGAAAGAACGCGATTTTATGTATTAATTATCTTTAAAGAATCGCGTTAGAATATAAAATAACAAAATTAAGTACTTAATTTAATGGTGTCGCTATTTTAATCGGCATTTATGCAAAGGTTTGTTATTTGACGATAAGGTAAACTGCATTAATTTTACATTAGTCCATAATTAGTACATGTGATAAGACATTTGTAGGTTAAATAAGATATACCTACCTAATTTAATTCATTTTTTTTCATTACAGCCCTTTACATGTCCACTGTTGAACATAGACGTCCCTCATAAATAGCCTCATGGGGGGATTTTGCCAACGCTTGGCAAGCGGGCTGTCAACTGTAGTTTTTTTTATTATTTTGAGTTATCAGGAAGATGCCGCTGCCCATCGCCTGTTACATTTACCTCCGGCGCCTCTTACGACACCCTCGGGATGATATAGGGTAGTATATATTCTTACATCGCCACTACACTGTTACAAATTTCAACTGGGCCTCCCTCAAGGAGTGCCAAATATTCTAATAGCTATAAATGTATAATGTTAACGGAGAATCGAGATGAAAAAATATTACTCTTCATTGGCTAATGGAGACGCAATTAGTAAAATTTCACTTATAAAGGCATCGGGATTCCACTATCTTTTAAATTTCTTTAGAAATCGTATTTTTCGATTTTAATGCTATTTCAAATTCAGGTGATTGGTATTTTCGGTTCGGTGGCAGGACTATTTTTCTGCCTAAAGCTTATTTCCCGCCTAGAATTTCGTCTAGATAGGAACCACATCGCGACATCGCACATCGCGAACAAAACTCGCGATATCATCCATACTATCTGGATGACTGGCGGTCCACCACTGTGCAATTTAAAAGAAGTTTTCTTCCTCACACAACTTCCTTGTGAAATCGACTACTACCAGAGATTTTTCCGGTCTGATACGACTTAGGGACCTTCAAAAAAAGAGCCTATTCCGTTTTAAAAGGTTGGTAACGCACCTACAATTCCCCTGGTGTTGCAGTTGATCATGGGCGGCGGTAATCACTAAACATCAGCTGAGCCGCATGCTTGTTTGCCCCCTCTCCTATAAAAAAAAACCACCACCTTCTTACCTATTTCTATCGCCAAACTTATTTTAAAATGAACAGAACATAGATATTTTAAGTGACGAAATTTGACCGACGTTATCCTCAGTACGAATCTTTCGATAATAGTACACTTTGGTTGCATTTATTTATAAATTATACTATTAGAATCAATGAAGAAGAATTAATTGAAGTCCAGTATTTTTTTATAGAATAAAGGTGACAAAGCGAGCACACAGTCCACCTGATTTTAAGTGGATGTTATGGTCCATAGACATCTACTTTTATCCTCGATTTAGAATCAAAACGCAGATGCGTTGTCTCCCTTGAGGACTAAGATGGAATGCCCCGTTTGCAATAAATAAGGGTCTCCGGATCTCTACACTCACCATACGAAACACAGCAGAATTAAGCTGCTATTTTACGCTGGTATTCTGTGAGAGAGTGGTCCTTCCCTAGTCGAGCCGACCCATTCGTATTACAACCATAATATAGCTGCAGCGTGGCTCTACCACGTATAGTCCAGTATAGCGCAAAGTTGGTAATTTTTCGTTAGCATCACAACTTGTTTTGTTCGCGCAACGTTGTGTGACTGATTAGCAATATGGAATGCAATCACTTTCACCTTCGGTTACGTTTTATACAGGGTTAAAGACACGTTTGAAATGAAAATTAACAATTGGTCTGTCATAACAGACAAATTGTTAAGTTATTTCATAATAATATAAGGTCAAAATAATAACATAATAATATAATTATCATAATAATAATAGGTTATAATTTTACTTGTGTATTTTGTTCATTTATCATCTAAATTTTTCGCAAATTCTCATTTAAAGTTCAGCAATAGATTTTGCTATAGGTCCGCAAAGAATTTTGAAAAGGCGACCATCATTTAAAACCATTGGGCTGTCTGTATTCATCATCATTATCAATACAGCCCGTCGCAAATTCACTGCTAAACATAGATAGGTCTCCCCCAATGAATATCACAAAACACGGCCCGCGGCCACCTGATTCCATCGAATTCCTGTATCCCCTATTATTTCGTCACTCCATTTAATGGGGGACCATCCTATATTTCGCTTACCGGTATGAGGCTAGCATTTAAGAACCTTTCTTCCCCATTGGTTGTCATTTATTAGAACTACATGGCCGGTTTATTGCCGATTCAGGTATGATATTAAGTCACTATATTATAATTGAATGATTGTATGAGATAAGATTTTTTTCTTGCCTGTTTATTGCCAAGCGCGTAGATTTGGGTAAAACACAAACTTGAGAGAGACCTATGTCATAGGTGAGGATCGTTAAGGGCTCCTCTTCTTCATCATGACCCGGTTGATGCTTCATCCCGTCACCGATCTGGGTAAACGAAGTCTATCGAAAAAAAGTTGATTTATATGGTCATCTATCGGAAGCAATATGTAATATCTTTTTGGTATATCCCATAGTCACGCCTTACAACAAACTCAGGACAAAATAATGTGATGGATTCTCTTAGTCCATTAAGGTAAACGCACATTTCTCAGCAACTTACGAGTACTCGCAGCACGTAGCGTACGCGCCGCATTTACTGATAGCATCTCTTATCATCATCTTCGCTAATACCCGCCGTACGCAAATCTTTAGTATTGCCAACAACTTTTGCAGTTCTTTCTAATCACTGGTATGAAACAGTCCGGTAACATTGATTAAGCTACGGAAAAAAATGTTGTAATGGCCTGCTTATTGGCAGAGGAAGAACAATATATAATTCCAAAAAAAAGGAGTTCTGGATTCACAGTATTCATTTCAAAAGGCAGTTAAAGTAAATACTCCTGAAATGATGTAAAAATATATTTCGAAATATGTGTAATGGTGGAGTGGTCATCTTACCACTAATTGAAACTTAATTTTACTGAACAACTAGAAAAAATACCAGCCACTAAAAGCAATGTTTGTCCTAGTGGAGAATTGGGTTTTTTTTTTTCGAATCGCCTTCTCCTAGAAGGCCACCAGTTTTAGTGGAAAATCCACTAAGTTTGCGACATTAGGCAACACCGAGTACCAGCACGCGCCAAACTCGCCGTATTATATGACGTCATCAGCATGCCTCCTTTCCTCCTTCAATGTTCGGATACGTGAAATGTGCGAGGTTTCTTACAACGAATTCTAAAAAGGGGCACGTATGACGTGTACAGCGCGTACGGTGCTAGGAAATGTGCGTTCACCTTTACCAAACCGCAAGAATGTTAAACGCTTATAGTGGCGTTATATTATGTTGAAATATTCTTAGACTTCAATGGGCATTGTTTGATTTCAGTTGCGATATTTGCGGGCATCATCAATTGCATGGGCCTGTTCACACTGAACGTGTCCTGTTTGATCGCCGGCATCTGGCAGATGCTCGCCGGCTTCATAGTGATCGTGTGCGAGGCGCCTTGCTGCTGCTTCTTTATTGATTATGTGCAGGTCCTATCTGATAAAATGGAGACGCGGCCATATTGGAATAAAGCAGCGTTCTACGTTGGGTACGTTAAAATCTATTAGTTTAGTTATAGATGTTTTAATCCACGAAGGCAGGCGAGTGTAGACCTGATGTATAAAGACAGGCGCTTGTGTGCGTTATTATAAGTTATGGTGAATCAAAACTATTTTTTTGTATTCAATATTTATTTATACAATATGTAACGTAATTAACGCACACCCTCAGACACCCCAATTAGTATATTATGTTATAATCATAATTACATACACTGAATTTTTAGTTAAACATTTTTATGCACTGATTATTTATCAAAAAACACCAGAAGAAGGTAAAAAAAGATTTTATTGAATACAGATATAAAATAAAATAAAACTCACTCTTAAAAGTCTTATTCCTTAAGTTACGGTCCATTTCAGTTTGTTTTGACTGTACAGATTTAGTGGGACTGTAATTTACGTAGATTTAATTCTTTTTGGGATAAAAAATTACCTATATTAAAAATGATAGGAATCGATTCAGTAAACGATTCTGAACAAACTACTTTCACAAAGTGAGTTAATTATGTTACGTGTTGTATATATAGGTACTGTGTTGATCAATAAGTTTTCGAAATAGGACTTATGAATGAGCTGTAGAAATGCGTTCTATGAATCTCCATTGGCTACCAAGGTCAGAAACAAACTAAATTAAAAACTATACCAAATTTTTTTTAAACTTCACATTTGAGGAGATTTTGATTCGTAAGTATGCAAAATGGAAAAACTCGAACTTCGTGCGGTTATTTAACGTTTCTGCATGAAAAATGTTCTACAAAAAGTGTTTTTGAAAAACTGTAGTTAACTTTGGCAGACAATGCTCCCTCTCATTCTACAGTGGCATACTGGTGCGCTGAATTTAAATGCGGCAGAACCGTCTGCAATGAAGGCTTTCGCTTCGGGCGAGCAACAACGGCTGCACCGCAAGAATAACTTAGATGAAACGTTTTGATAAAGATGTTAATAGTTATTTTGCAACCCTCCGCTCAATTAAATGAAATGATGTGTCTTACCTAGTTTGAAGAGAGTCTTAGCGGTCAACCGCCGTAGAGTCTACATCACCTAAAGATGCCTCGTGTAGAGGCGAAACACGTGTCGTATTATCGTCGATGGTGTGTCTTTCCTAGAAGAGTGGTGTTGGGAATGGGTGCTCTTAAAACTAGGTAAGACACATCATTTCATTTAATTGAGCGGAGGGTTGCAAAATAACTATGAATATCTTTGTTATAATGGATTTCCGCAAAGTAACGCCTGATTCTATTCAAACCTTTTGAGCTTTTGACCCTAGGACGAGAAATCAAAGCAAGGTGTGGAAAAGACTGTCTTTCTCGATAGCCTAGGGTTTCAAGGTGTCTGCGTCCCCAGTAAAATAATGACCTCTGCCTTCTGGGATGAGGAAGGTATAACAATAATCGAATATTTAAGTAACGGAGAGATAATAACCGGAGATTACCACACTTCAGTAATCAAAAAACTACGCGAAGAACTAAAGAATAAATGTCGAGGAAAATTGCACACTGGAGTGCTTTTTAATCATGATAATTGCTCTGCCCATCGATCTGATGTTGCCGGATCTGATCTGCTATCCGAACTGCTAGGTTTCATTTGATGCAGCACCCACCATATTTTCCGGAACTAGTTCCGAGTTATTTTCACCTTAACTTACCATAAAATTTCGTTACGTTACCGAAAACATAAGTTTAAGTAGATATTAAATCAAAAAAATCTTTAAGTGGAATCATAACTATAACCGTTTGCCTTGTCCCTTTCACCGTCACCATCAATTGGCAATATATATTATTATATTGTTATAGTTATTCTATTTCACGATGAAGGTTTGACTTTGGTTACTGTTAGCCGTGCACATACACATTGTGTTAGTGTGCGTAGGCTTCTGGAGCGCTCAGACACGACAAACAAACCGTTACACACACAAACGCGCCTGTACATACACGTCACTACTACAATCAAGGCGAAACCTTCATCGTGAAATAGAATAACTATACTCGATTAAACTAAAGTATTTTCAAAATCCATTCGATTAAGAATTTAATGGAGTAGTATATCATGTATGCGCATTTTTTTTCCGAACGTAATATATACTACGTAATATATACTATTTCAAGAAGTGTTAATTCTAGGGCCTTAAAATCAATATTTTTCTGACCGCGGCAAGAAAGAACACGCTGTATCACGCTTATGAACACGCTGTATCACGCTTATAATTTCTCGTTTATTTTCAGCTTGGCGCTGCCTCCATTCTTTCTGTGCTTTTTGAGCCTCAGCACTTGGTTTGGAAGCGGTATAATATTCGCTACCGGCGTCGTATACGGCATGATGGCGCTAGGCAGAAAGTGAGTATATTTGAGCTGGGGTCTACATTGATATATGTACAAATTGTTGAGTATGTTGCAATAAAGGTTTTTCAAAGGTTTTAAAAAGATTCTCAAAGATTTAATTTATATTATGTTGTTACATAAAATTTTCTTGAATAACAATTGCTTTGTATACATGGTTGAAGAGTTGTGGCGGTTGCGATTTTTGAATGATTCCTTAGGCCCGCCGCTGATTGCAATTTTTTGTCACCGTGATTTATTATTACTGTCACCTGCTGTCACCCACGATGCGCTCACTGAATCTGTTCTTGGGTAACAAATCGCGTTCATTTTTGTAATGGACTTCAACGAGGTTGCCGTGATTTGTGCTCTTGAAATACGTAGAAGAAAAATGAAACGGAAAAAACGCTACTGGGTGCATTCTATATACACGGAAAGATTATTTAAAGGAAAATCCTACACTATATATTCTGAATTACGTCAGTATTCACCAAAGTTTTTTAATTATCTTCGTATGTATATAAACTCTTTTGATTAGTTGCTGGCTTTGCAAAGCTATTCCAGCAGAAGAAAGGTTAACGGTAACTTTGAGGTAAGTAACAAAAACTACATCAACTACTTAATTAAACAAAAAATCTTTATTAACCAGAGGCATAAAAAATTGCAATATCACAATCATCTACAGAGTAATTTGCCACATATATTAATACTATTTAACAAATACTTTAAATAGCATGTGTCTACTCCGAACGCGCGGCGCCGACAAAAAGTCACCAGTGAGCGGACTCCCATAGTAATGCACAGGGTGAGTGACAGTCACGTCACTCCGGTGTTGCCTGCCGCTGCAACTATTTGTCACCGTATTATCACGTCACCATAATGAGCGCACTCTATATAGTTTTCATTGACTTCATTGACACTTGACTAAGTGACAAAAAGTCACCTCGACAAAAAATTGCAATCAGCGGCGGGCCTTAGTGTAGAATGCAGATGTACTGAATAGTGTGTTGCTATTTATGTGAGATATATATATATATATATATATATATATATATATATATATATATATATATATATATATCACATCGGCAGGGTTGACAAGTTGGCTTGCTGCAATCTATAACGCTAATAGAAAACTATGAAAATAAACGACATCTTTAATATTCATTTTTGAATGAAATCAAAGTTAAATTACGTGACTCTTTGTGGAGATATATAATTTCTACTCATTTTTAATGAGATCAGTCATGTGACTACGTTTTGCTAAATAAGGTTATAGATTTCTATTAGCGTTGAAGATTGTAGAATCAGAGTCAAGTTGACGACTAACTCTGCTTTAGGTGAGAGGGAAAGTACCTAAAATGTTAATCGATAAAGCTTACTGTTGAGAAAACGTATACTTTTGATATGATATAAAGACCATAATTTGTGGGTTTTATTTGTCATTTGAAAAGCCTTATTGAAATAATATTTATGTATTGATATATTTAATAATATACGATATTGGTATGTAATTAATTTTAAGAATATTGATTTCGTATTTCTGTTTGATATAAAGTATATAAAGATATTAATGTTAAATGATGTAGATGATAAAGTATTATAATTCTTACATTAAATATATTTTAAGAACAAATTGAATAGAATGAACGAATTGTAACCTAAAAAATACTTTCCTTTTTCATTATGGTCAAGGTTCTTTGAATTAATTTAACAACATTACTAACATATTATTGTCTACTTGTAATATTTAATTTTGCCATTGCTTTGTGTGGGTTGACTAACTGGTATGGGTTTCACAGAAAATGGACTGAGCGCCTCGTATCATTCTGCAATCTTAATATGATAATATCCGCGGCCATTCTTTTTTCCCCCCCTTGAATCCCCCCCCCCCCGGATTATGGGTTACCAATTACTATTACTTATTAATTATGGTTGAAAAACAATAGAAAAACAACAAACATTTTTAATAAAAAGAAAATGTCGACATCAAAAAACTAAAAATAATATAATGATTGCCGCATAATGGCTACAGAAGTCAGTGCTAAGAAATAGTGTATGGTGGTATTAAAAGTCCGATTTGAGAAGTTATTATGTGGAAATTATTTTGTTCTTTTTTGTTTCTTTAAAATTGGTATTTACCTTTTATTAAAAGCGATATTTTTTACCCTTTTGAGTGTTGTACTAAGGAATATTACAAACTGTCGGAATGTCTTCTAAATAGTCATATTAAAAATTTCATCCCTATTTTCCTAAGCATGGAAAATGAGTGTAATTTTTTCTTCGATAAATTTATGATACGATCCCTAAAGTATTACCAATAGAAATAAAATAGAATCATTAAATTCGGTTCTCAATGTGGGCACCCACAACTTTTTTTCTGCCACCAGGGCGGCGCCACTTGGAACGAGGTGAAATAGTTAACAAGTTTCATGGGCGTAGGGGGAGTTCAGTTGTTAGGAAATTGTAAAGTTTAATGTTTCTTTATGAAATATTAGATATATTTTATATTAATAGATTAAAATAGATAAACCAACTTCCTAAAACTGAAATTATTAAAAACAATGCAAAATTCATCAATGCAAAAATCAATTCATCAAACATCACCAACAACATTCAAAAACATCAAACAAAATTCAAAAATCATTAATGCAAAAAATTGAAAAGCAATCACTGAGGCTTTATTTTGTACTCGATTAGGTACTCGAAAATCAAAAAACGCAACTACTTTACCTACTCTAGCCCTTTTTGACGAATATATCTCATAACAAACATACAAAACAAATAACATGCAAGTTAATTAAAAATCTCCTTATTTAGAAGTTTTAGTCTTTTAGTAAAGGGGCATTCTGTGATATAATCTTGTTACAATGATCTCTATTTACGCGAATACTTAGTACTAAATTGAACTAAAGGAGACAATCAATTTTTCTATGGAGAATGGGCCCACTACAAATTTTAAAGATTATCAATGAAATGCATGTCGATTTATTCCTTATAATCCATAGATTACAATAAAATTATTAGTTTTACTGCATCTAAACGGAGTCCTGAGAAATTAACAAATAAAATATGAATCTAACAATAACCTAAAAACAAACTGAAAGCGATTTTCTGGTAGTATTCATCGGTATTATAAGTTAAAATAGTGCACACTTGAATAATAGTACATATAAAACTAAGCTGTAGATATATTCAGAATTTATAAATATTTTAAAATCGATGTAAAACCTTTCACTAGTTCCGGCAAAACATAGTGCCTGTCTATGCACAAATGTTGTATGGATTCTAAGTTTGACATGTATTGATTGATTGTGAGTGTAATTCTAAATACCAACATGGCTAAGGGATAATGTCTATTTATATTTATGATATTACCAACACACAGTAAGATATGTTTTAAACTGGTTGTATTACAAAGAGAAATTAACCAATAAAATGTGAATCTAACAATAACCTAAAAACAAACTGAAAGTGATTTTTTTAGTAGTATTCATCGGTATTATAAGTTAAAATAGTGCACACTTGAATAATAGTACATATAAAACTAAGCTGTAGATATATTCAGAATTTATAAATATTTTAAAATCGATGTAAAACCTTTCACTAGTTCCGGCAAAACATAGTGCCTGTCTATGCACAAATGTCGTATGGATTCCAAGTTTGACATGTATTGATTGATTGTGAGTGTAATTCTAAATACCAAGATGGCTAAGGGATAATGTCTATTTATATTTATGATATTACCAACACACAGTAAGATGTTTTAAACTGGTTGTATTACAAAAAACAAAATATAATGTAGTTAATTCTATTTATTATTGTAAATCATAATTTATTTAAGTATTCTATTAAAAGTAGTAGGTACAGAAACAGAAACCTTTTATTCAATTTAGATTATAAATAATACTTATTGAAAGTCACTTTTTTAATTTACCACTGGTTCGGAAAAAACCTCTGACTTGAAGAGAACCAGCAAAATACCCAGTGGGTCTTTTAAAAAAAAGGCAGCTTACAATCATGTATGTCATAATTAACAACACAGAACAAATTAGAAATAGCTTGGTAGCGATCACCCTTCCCACGGGTTATTGTCAGCCATAAATTCCTTTATACTATAATAACCCCTTTTATACAAACTTAATTTAATAAATTTTTTGAACTTTGATGATTGACTGACATATATAGACAGGAGCGGTGTCAAGACATTGTTTTAATATGTTTTGGTTGATTAGTAAGTAATATACATCATAATAAAATGACTAGGAATTAACATGCCTTATCTATGTTATTACACAATGATAAATAGTGAGGAAGTAAGATGTTTCAAACTGTTTGTGTAAGGATTACAAAAACACAGGCTTAATTTAAATGTATTTATTACTAGCGATGCGGCTCAGCTGCAGCACTGGTGATTTATGGATCTCGACAACAGTGCCATCTACCGGGTCCAAATGTGTCCAAATATAAACCATCTAGGGATCCATCCAAATACACACAAACATTTTCATTGAAATTGGTTGGATGGTTTCTTATGTTTTGTCTATAACGGACATAGGTAGAAACATTTTAGTGTTAGATATATTTCTGAAGGTTTTTTGAAAATAACTTGATGGTAACATGTACATTTATGATATTGTAAGCAATCAGAAGGAATTTTCAATTATAAGAGATATGATATAAGACTGTTGTCTCCAATATCCATACACTTTTTGTCTCTGCAAGCTTTCAGCCTGCACGGCATATAGATTTGTTCTAAGCGATCCACCTGAAAAGAAGTTAATGACAATTGTAAAGGTGTCTTAACTAAATAATAATTCTTATCAATATATTATTTTTTTCTATATTATATAGGAATTAAAAGGACATTTTTAATAATAAGAGATATGAGATAAGACTATGCCTTCAATGTCAATAAACTGTATTTACATATTTCTGTAAGCATTTTCTTATATCTGCCTTTTCATATGTTAAATAATAAAGAAATTATTATAAACTATACAGCATTAATCAGCTCC